TGGCTGCTGGCCAAGCTTGGACCCAAGATGCCAGTTCCAGTTCAGCGGTTTAGCAGCACATCAACCGATGGCGGAGACCTCAGTTCTTTCCAGGGATGTCACCTTGGACAAATCCCTTAGCCTCACTGGGCCTTTAGGTCCTTGCCTGTGAAAAGGGTATAACAACACTGCCCATCCCACAGGCTCCTGAGAAGGTTTAGTTGCTGAGCTTGTGTCTAGGGCACGGTGAACATTCAGGAAGTGAGAGCTGTTATTTTGATAAACCAAAATAGGAAAACCCTGTTGCACCCCTGGGACACACTCCCTCAGCTGTTCCATGAGGGACTTGCAAAGGTTCTGTGGGAAGAACGTGAGGAGAGGGGCTCTGTGCCCCAGCCTCAGGCAGGACTCAAGCAGGATCATAGATCGGTTTGGACCTCAGTCTGTCAGATTCCTCCCTTTGGCTCCATAGCTCTCAGTTTCTGACTCTGTCACTCTTTCATTGATCTGTATACAATTTTTAAAATTTCACAGGTAATAAATAGATCCCATTGTAAAATAGCTTAAGCAATGTGGAGATTTATGGAGTAAAAGGTGAATGCTTTCTTCACACCAGCCCTTCCTCATATTTCCCCTCCCTTCCCCAAAGGTAATGATTTGGTGTATTCCTTCCAGACCTTTGCTAAGCATGCGTGTGTGTTGTGGGTGGGGGGAATGTTTTGTTTTTCCTTTAACATAAATAAAGTCATTTTGTCCTTATGGCATCACTTATATTCCAACTTGGAACCTTTCTGTCTGACATACTTCATTCTTTTTATCTCATATCTGGTATTTCATAGTATGGATATGACATGGATTATTTCATCATTTCCCTGCCAATGAACATCTAGGTTGTACACAATTATTGCTATTATGAACAATATTATAATTAATGTCCTTTTAACATGCATTTTGGGGATGGGTACCCAGATATTTCTCTCAGATAGATCCTTAGAAGTAGAACTCCTGGGCCAAGCAAGCAGTAAGTACATTTTATTTTATGTATTTTATTTTAAATCAATTAATTAACATATAGTGTATTATTAGTTTCAGAGGTAGAGTTTAGGGATTCATCCATTGCAGCAAGCACATTTTAAAATGGAATAGGACATGCATGCACAGGGACCATCCCAACTTCAAACCCAGAGACTTTGAGAACACCCAAAGCCCAGCAATGACTGAGATGACCTTGCGGGACCCGTGCCTGATGCTCTGCCCAGAACCAGGGGAAAAGCATTCACGAGCGATTCATTTCAGCCCACAGTAGAGACTTCCAGAATAGATGTCTGCTGACTGTAGATTTACAACTGCAGGATGTAGTTGGCATCCTGGGAACATTGGCAGCTTCTTGGGAAATCAAAAGAATGGCACAGCAGAGGCTGTAGCCCCCTCTGATCGAAGGAACTTCATGATGGAACTGAAGATGGTTTGGGAAATTTCTCTGAAGAACAAACCAGAACTTTTTGTGCTATCTCCTCCTCTCCAGATCTACTCCTTCCGACTGAAGGGAGGACTTTTGGTTTGGGATAAATTTGTAGATGTGGATCTTTGCTTCAGGACCACAAAGGTAAAAGCTGAAGGTTTTTCTAGGGGAGAAGATCTAACCAGTCCCAAGTTAAAGGCAAAGAATCCTGCAGAATCACTGGACTGTCAAGTGGATTCTTTTGTTCTGTTTTCTGTTGCTCAGACACGACAGACCTTCTTAATAAACACCTGGAGCCATGATAGTGTTGTATGGCGACAGATGGTAGCTGCATGTGATGAGCACAGCATAACGTCTAGACTTTGTCGAATCACTATGTTGTAACATTGTGCATCAACTATACTTTAAAAAAAAATTAAAAACCAGGTTTGTACCTAAAAACAAAAAAAACAGGAACACCTTGGTGGCTCAGTCAGTTAAGTGTCAGACTCTTGCTTTTGGATGGGGTTGTGATCTCAGGGTCGTGAGATCAAGCCCCACGTTGGGCTTTTTGCGCAGCGGGGAGTCTGCTTGGGATTCTGTTTCTCCCTTTCCCTCTGCCCCTCCCCACTCTCGCATTCTCTCTTTCTAAAAATAAATAAATACATCTTCAAAAAAAAAAAAAAAAACAAAGAAAAAATCCCCAAACCTCCAAAGCCACCTTTTGGCAGCATGAGAAGGACTAAAGTCTTTTGGGGATGTGTCCGATGAAACTAACGAAAAGACTGGGTTATTGGTGGGAAGAGCTTACATAGAGCGCAACAGTCATTTGAACTATAGTAGGTCGGAGAAAACAAACAGAAACCATGACTTAGATTCCTTTCAGTTTCTAATTTTATTTTGTTTTACCTCCAAAAGTGAGCCAAAATAGGTGAGCTAAATTGTTGGCTGAGATTTCTTTGTAAAAAGCCAACACTTAAAGACTTCCTAGTATAACATTAGGGGATAAAGTATGATTTACTTCATTACCTCTGAGAATAAAAATGTTCTCAGGCTTCTAGGAAATGACTGGATGTTCGATAGCCATGGGGGTAAAAAATAGTCCTCAGAACTTGTTTTAAACCAGTTTAATTGTCCAACGACAGCTTCTCACTAATACACATGTTCCTAAAAGCTGATCAGTCTAAACGTCAGCCACCCAGCAACACCCTCGCCCCAGTAACCACACCACCACCACTAAAGGCAAACCATTCCCTCAATAGCAGCACCGCTGAAGGTCCACCAACCCCTCTCCTCCACATTGTCCATAGCCCTGTGTGAGATCAGCTCCCCGGGGTCGCTCAGAACCATACACTGGAGCATTCCCAGTGCTTAAGCTGGTGGTTAAGTTCAGCCTTCTGTTTTCAGGTGTGGTGTGGTGGTCTCTTCCTTTGACATGATGCATTCATAAATGCATCATGAACTGCAGTTCAGTCGTAATGTTCCCCCTTTCACTTTTGATTTTGGTAATTGGGGGTCTTTTCTCGTTTTTTTCTTAGTCAATCTACCTAAATGTTCGTCAGTCTTGTTGATGTATTTGAAGACCCAGTTTTCATTGTGTCTATTTTTCCCATTCCCTTTTTATTTATTTCCATTCTAATCTTTATTGTTATTTCATGCCTACTGCTTGCTTTGAGTTGAGTTTGCTTTTATTTTATTTTTTTTAAGATTTTATTTATTTATTTGACAGAGAGAGACACAGCGAGAGCAGGAACACAAGCAGGGGGAGTGAGAGAGGGAGAAGCAGGCTTCCCACGGAGCAGGGAGCCTGATGCGGGACTTGATCCCAGGACCCTGGGCTCATGACCTGAGCTGAAGGCAGAAGCTTAAGGGCTGAGCCACCCACGTGCCCCAAGTTTGCTTTTAAAGAAAAATTATAAAAGTATAATTTCTTAAAGTAAAAATTAGAGTATTAATAAATAAATTAATCATCTAATAACATTAGATGATTAATTTGAGATTTTTCTTCTTTTTTTCATATAAGTATTTACAGTTCTACATTCCCTTGAAGCACTTGTTTTAGCTGCATCCTGTGATTTTGGGTATGTTTCTACAAGATATTTTCTGATTTTCCTTGTGATTTCTTTTTTGACCCATTGGTTTTTAGAGGTGTGCTATTTAATTTCCACATATTTGAGGAAGCAGCATTCAGTGATAGAGTTTTTATTACTTTAAAGATGTGTAGAATAGAAAAATGGGCAGGCTATTTAAAATACATATGGCTTGGAACCAAAATATCTACTTTAGTAATAATGGTGGCTTCAAAGGTGGAACTAAGACAAGGTTGTGTGGATGATTCTGGGAATATATTTGGAGAATATATAAGAGGAGGATAAAAGAAATTAAAGTAAACCACGCTGTTTGAAATATAAACAGAAAGCACAAAATAGGAATTTAGCATACTATAAGCATTTTACTTAGCATCAAGAATATAAGATTGGGGCGCCCGGGTGGCTCAGTCGGTTAAGCGTCTGCGTGATCTCGGGGTCCCGAGATTGAGCCCTGCATCGGGCTCTCTGCTCAGTGGGGAGCCTGCTTCTCCCTCTCCCTCCGCTGCTCCCCTGTTTGTGCTCATTCTCTCTCTCTCTGTCAATAAAATCTTTTTTTTTAAAGAATATAAGAAATTAATGCAGAGGAAATGGTATTACCATAAATATCGTTCTTGTAATGGAATCATAATCTCATGACTACATATTTTCACTATGTGTAAATGATAAGTGGAACCAGCTTTAGAGCTCAATATTGTAACTGAGTTTAGAAGGGTTTTAAAGTAGCTTTTGACATTTTAGAAATCATTTTTTTAGTGTTTCTTCTTCCTTCCTCTCCCAGTAACATTGAGATATAAAATACACCACATAGTGGGTTCATGATATATGTTCTTGATATATAAATGACCTTATGTCATTTAGCAGACAGATTTTATTTTCTTGACAAGAAGCATAGGTAGCCACTTGTGAGGACAGATAAATGATCAGATTAAAAAAAAATCAGATCATTGCTGCCTGAAAACTAGTTGGCTTATGCAATTATCCTAATGCTTGGTTAAAAAAAGAAATCTCCACTGGGAAGAATCAGTAACACTGGGACATCAGTCCCACATACCCTGACTCCAGATGAGCCCTGCACCCTTAGGGAGAAGTGAGATGGATTTTAAGAAAGTATTTTCCTGATGTAGGTGTACCTTATCTGAACTTAACATACGAGCACTCCACAGACCTTAATTCTGGCAGGCAGTCATCCCATATATGGCTCTGGTTTGTTGCCTCATCTCCTCTTCCAGATGACTTTCCCCCTCCTCAATCTACCAATATCTCTTCTTGTTGTCACTCCAGCCAATCAGGAGTGCACAGGAGTGCCCAGAGTCCCATCCCACAACCACCCACCTGCAAGCATCTGTGCCTGCATTCATTCTGTCTTCCCACCTATTCCTATGGAAGAATTCTTCGTGCTCCTACGTAAAGCTGGTCACTCCAGCGATGCCCCCCTCCCTCTCCCACCACCACTTTTTTTTTTTTTTTTGCTCAAACGGAAACAATCTCTATCAACTGCTGATTGAATTTTCAAAATCAAGGAACAGAACAGTCTTATAGTATGCTACTATTTCTCTAAGAAAGATATAACATAGCCATAATTATATGTTATACATATGTGTGTAAGTATATGGGCTTGCTTATATTGGAAAGAAAAACCAAAAAAATGAATGAAAACAGTTTTTGTAAAGGGCAGGCAACAGGTGGAGGGAGCAGAAATGGAGATGAGAATTCACTAAAAATGCTTTGCTTCATAATTTTGACTTAAAATTGTTATCATTGTGACTTTAAAAGATGTTCATTGCTATTTGCTGAAATTCTCACTCTCCGCTAATGCCCTTGCTTAAAGTCCCATCGCATGCTACATCTTTATTACAATTTGCTAAGAAAGATTTTCTTTCCTTTAACATATGCCACAAGAATGACACTGCCTGCGCCATTCACTTTTCTGAGAGTGGTTTTCCTTCCTGCCTTTTTGGGGTGCGTTGTAGTTCTGCCCACACCAGACCCTTTTTTGACATGCAGCATTCCTGAAGAATGAGTGGCAGGCTTCTGGGTTTGCTTGAGCATAAACTCCACTTCTTGTCCAAGCTAAAAATCACACCCCATGACAGGTAGCAACAGGGATGCCATCCCACATTCTGGTCAGCTCTAGAATGAAACCTCTCTTTCTCTGACGGGAGCAGCTTGGGGCTTCTGTTCAATCAGTCCACATCTGCCATGCCGTTAACTCCATGAGGACTCCCAAACAAGCAGTAGCAGGTGCCATAGGTTAAAAGTATTTATGGGAGACATTTTTATCTTGGATTAAATACCAAACTCTATGCTCCCCCCATCCCCTGTGCTTCCCTCTGATACGGCACCTACCACACTGTGTTGTTTCTGCCCGAGTCTGTCTTCCTCACTAGACTGTAAGAAAATTGAGGGCAGCGACTGTCCCAATCTCTCTCTCTGTGCCTCTAGCTTCTACCACATGGTCTAGCACCTCCCAAAGGCTAATTAAAGTCTTCTTAAGTGAATGGAAAAACAGAGAAAATTATATTCAGCAGCTCGATGCTTATTCTGAATATGAAAAACACCACAAGACATCCTACTCATGGAAAAGACTTGGACCGCACATTGAGAGCTACCATTGCAGCCTCTGCCCGATGGAATGATGCCTTGTAAGAGTTTATTATAAAATAGAGTATTCACATGGAGTCAAAATGTATAAAGTCTGTATATACAGCTTAATTGTAAAGTGAATACCGTGTCACCACCATTCAGGGGAAGAGAATGAAACTGACAACTCCTCATAAAGCCCTTGGTGCCCCTCTCTAATTCACAACCCTCTCCCTTTCTTACAGAAATAACCCTGATTTTCCATTTTAATAATAAATATGTCTTCTCTTTTCTTCACAGTGTATGACATCTGTATGCATTGATAAAAAATGTAGTTTAGCTTTGCCTGTCTTTAAACTTTATATAACTGGAATCATATATATATCCTTTTGAGTCATGATTCTTTTGCTCAACACTAGATTCTTCCACTCAACACTAGATTCTTTCATCTATTCATGTGAGATTACTCATGTTGTGTGTATATGTAATTCCTTCATATTTTATCGGCATACAGTGCTACATCTTATGAACATTTTACAAGTTAGAGAAATGCAGCTATGCCAGATAATACAGTATGTGTATATTCAACATTATAAGATAGTGATAAAGCGTTTTCCAAAGTGGTTATGCCAATAAACACTCCCACTATCAGTATACGAGTGCTCCATCAACCTGCATGCTCGCCAACTTGGGTATTGGCAGACTTTGACATTTTAGCCAGTTTGATGTGTTTCTAGTGGTAAGTATTCATTGTTGTAACTTGCACCTCTCCTGTTACTACTAGGTTGAGCATGTTTTCTTAGATTTATTGAACATTTGCTTGTGAAGTATTCTGCTAATTTTTCTAATGACTTGACTATTTTAAAAAATTGACCTAGGGGCGCCTGAGTGGCTCAGTGGGTTAAGTGTCTGCCTTCGGCTCAGGTCATGATCCCAGGGCCCTGGGACCGAGCCCTGCATCGGGCTCCCTGCTGTGGGAAGCCTGCTTCTCCCTCTCCCATTCCCCCTGCTTGTGTTCCCTCTCTCGCTATCTCTCTGTCGAATAAGTAAATACAATCTCTAAAAAAAATTTAAAAAATGAAAATAAAAAATTGACCTAAAGTAATTCTCTATATATTCTGGATGAATCCTGAGTCCTTTAGTTGGTTATATGCATTGCAAATAATTTTCTGTTCTGTAGCTTAGCATTCCACTCTCTTCCTGGTGTCTTTCGATGAACAGAAATTTTACATTTTAAAGCAGTCAAATTTATCTTTTGTTTTTTCTAGGCATAGAGCTTTTAAAAAATCTTGCTTCAGAAATATCTCCCCATCCCAAGATGAGGACTATAGTCTCCTATATAGGAGAAAACTATAAAAATAGTTTTGCCTTTCATATTTAGGTATTTAATGAGATTGCTTTTTTTGTGTTTGCTTAAGCTAAGAGACAAATTTCATTTGTTGACATATGGATACCTGATAGTACCAATACCATTTATTTATTTATTTATTTTAAGATTTTATTTATTTATTTGAGAGAGAGAGAATGAGAGATAGAGAGCACGAGAGGGAAGAGGGTCAGAGGGAGAAGCAGACTCCCTGCTGAGCAGGGAGCCCGATGTGGGACTCGATCGCGGGACTCCAGGATCATGCCCTGAGCCGAAGGCAGTCGCTTAACCAACTGAGCCACACAGGCGCCCACCAATACCATTTATTATAATTCCATCTTTACAATGATCTGCAATGTCATTTCCTTCATATATCAATTGTTCATATATTTAAGGGTCTGATTCTCGGCTCTCCTGTTCCATTGATCGATATGTCTATTCATGTCTTAATAACTAACCTTTCTGTGTTCTCATCTTTATTACTATTTTAGTCTTATGTTAAAAATTCTATTTGATACTTTTATGAGATTGACACACTGCCCACTGAGCTAAGAAGGCACTAATTTTGACACTTTTAAGCAGATAATCTTTCTATTTTATCTGACATTTTCCTTTCCACAGAAGGGTTGATTTTATAACCTAGTCTATCATTAAGGGAAATGGAAGTCTCAATGGTATATTTTGGGCCCTACTCTAGGTCATTCTTCCCTTCAAGAAACTTTTTTGATGGCATTCTCTGTTTTTAGCACACTGGTATCCTGGAAGCAGCATTAGCAACGTCTAAGGATCAGGGGTTCTCAGAATGCCCTGAGTCCCAGGGACATGCCTTACTGGTGATGGCTGCTTTGACATCCTTGCTCCTCGGCATGTAGATGAGAGGGTTGAGGACAGGGGTGAGGACAGCATACACCACATTGCCCATGATGTGAAAGTCGAGGGGCAGGTCAGCCCTGTAGGCCACATAGGCTGTGGCAATGGATGAGTAGTAGGTGCCAACCACCAGGAGGTGGGAGCCGCAGGTGGAGAAGGCTTTTGAGCGTCCTTCTCGGGAGCTGATGCGAAGCACTGCAGCCAGGATGTGGGCATAGGAGAGAAGCACCAGGAGAAGGGGCAGGAAGGATACCACCATGGCGATGCAGAGGCCCATGAAGGTCTGGGGCGTGGTGTCAGAGCAGGAGGCCTGGACCCCAGCCAAGTGGTCACAGAAGCAGTGAGAGATGGGAGCAGTGTTGTCAAAGGCCAAGTGGGAAGTCTGCACCACTGCGGGGATGGGCAGGAGGAGGGCAGGGAGCCAGGCACAGGCTGCCAGGGCGGCACTGGTGCGCGAGGTCATGAGGACAGGGTAGCGCAGGGGGCGGCAGATAGCCACACAGCGGTCATAGGCCACGGCCACCAGGACGAAGGCTTCTGAGCAGGAGAAGCTGTGGAAGTGGTGCCTCTGCAGGAAGCA